GTGGGCTCAGCCTGATCTGATGTAATAGTATATAAATGCAGACGTGCCATGGTCTTTCTCTCCAACAAGGGTTAGTTCTGAGGCCAAGGGCTTCGGGCCACTTCAGAAACTCAAACATTTTCTAAGTGTAAACGATTTTTCAGTAGAGGTAGAGGCCTACAGATAAGCATCTTTTGAAACCGGCTGAATTAAACCCACACATTGCTCTTTCTCAGACATTTCCTCAAAATGTCACACTGAATAGTTCCAGTTAACAGGCGAAGTCTCAAAATCATACCAGAATACATGAGATGATACAGCAGGGAAGCTGCGCTCACCCTCGGGGGTGAAGCACTGGGAGCTCTTCTGAGGAGAGGAAGAAAGAGAAGAGAGGAGGGAGAATGGGTTTGCATGGAGTTCTCTCCCCTCAGTTTCCTAATCCTCTTTAAAGTCAGAGATATATATGGATATATATAGATAAGGCTCATGGGTCCCTTGGGCCCTAGATCTGAAGGAAGCACATTAATGAAATTCGTCTGAAAGAAATCCACAAGTTGTTTGCCTGGGGCCCACGGACAGGTGGCTCCAGAGAATTATAAAACCCTGACATTTTATTTAGGAATTTCATGTATATGATATCATGTGCATTTTTACACAGAGAATCTTTATAACTTTTACAAGATTCCAAGAAGACGCCCATGGCCCAATAAACCTTAAGAAGTCTTGCATGAGACTAGCTAACCTGAGACAAATGACATTGTACTGAGATTTTCTTTATTTAATGTTCAGGGCTGTTTTTGAGATGGCAAAAGACTCCTTGGTCGTCAGCTGTTCTGACATCCCCATAAAGCAAAGTATAAGTCCCTGTGTACTTTTCCCCTTAAAAAAGAAGTTTCAATTATATTTGATATTCACTATTATTTTATATTAGTTTCAGGGGTATAGCATAGTGGTTAGACATTTTAAATCCCTGTTTTTGCTTGGAGAAGACCCTACTATCACAAGTACTTGAAAAATGTACTTACTTTTTCTGCTTCTTACAAAGTAAACTCAAGTATATAGTAGAAAGTAGAAAGTAGATCTTAAAATCAGATATGATCTGTGTTTGGTATTATATTCAGAAACTCCTCCGTGGGGCCAAGTTTTAATAATCTAGATATCCTCTTTCTCCTCTTACTACAGAGTTTAAAATCATTACCTTGTTCTGCTGTAAACTGTCTTTTTTTTTTTTTCCCTTTCAAAGATTTTATTGGGGAATTGGGGGAGGGGAACAGACAAGTTGCTGTCCTTTTGTTCTTCAGTCTAGTTGTGGAGGATGTTGCTTCACTGGCCCAAGTTGGCACCATCATTGCGCTCTTCCGGGGCGAGGCAGATCAGTCGCCGGATTCTGGACGGCCGCTCACTGCAGCTGCTGGCCTCTCACGCTGGCTGCTGGCTACACACGGTAGCCCATGGCAACCACTGCAGCAGGGGCTGCAGCCTACGCCGTCGTCGGCGACTCATGGCAGCCCAGCCTCAGGTCGAGCTGCCATTCACCATCTTAGCTGCAGAGGGCAGTGTCACTGGCCCTCATATGTGGAATCCAAACCGGGGCCCTCTGGCGTCCCAAGCCTGTTCTTAACCAACATGCCACTCGGCCGGCCCTGTCATTTTTTTTTAAGCTGCAAAATTATCAGATGTGACCATTTCACATAAGGTTCAGAGGCCTGTGAAATGTCAGGTATGACTATAGATTCCAATGGAACAGCATTAGGTATACGATAATGAGGTACAAATAAAGGGGATGCTTCCATTGTTTCACAGGGTTATTACTCTCCAAAAGGAAAAGCAAAAGCAAGTGAAACAGAGGTCATAAAGCCTGTCTGAACTCTCATTGATCTTCTGACCAAAGCTGTCCCCTGGTCGTCTCCAGATGCAGCCCCGTGTCCTGACCACTGTGACATGGTACCAAGTGTCCAAGAAGCTGTCCCAACCGCCTGGTTAATGGACTCCAAGTTTCACACCTGACCCAACAAACACTTGTGTCCAATACAGAAGGACCTGACTCACAGTGACAATGGTGGGCAGGGGGAATAGATGGAGGACAGCTCCATCAGTACAATCATTACATCATTAATAAAAGTCTCTTTTAAAATTGAGCACCTCAGACTAGGGACTGTTCCCTACTTATTTTGTATCCCATATTTCCTATCGATTTTTCTATCCTGAGTAGATAACATAAAGCCTGGTACTCAGTAAGTGCTAGATAGAAGGTTTTTAAATGCACTTTTGCTACCTGCTTTTCTGCGCCACCGTTACCTTTGGAGAACACGGCGGGTCCATCTGTGGTGCGAAGGTTAACTGTAGTTTAGCACGGTGACAATCCCTGAATGAGTGCACTGTAGTCCAAATTAAGTTTCACTATAAATAGTTAACCATCGAATAGTTCTAATTTCTTTATACTAATGGTAGTTTTAGTATATCTATTTTTTTAAAGTTTTATTTTATTTTTTTATATCTGTCTTGAGAGAGACAGAGCAGAGATTCCTTTTGGTATCCAGAGAGGTAGAAGGTAAATTTAAACCACGCCCTATAGACATTTAGTAAATACAAACAATGAATCAAGGAAGGGCAGGTTTAAACCTCCATGGGTTCAGTCAGTTTTGCTTCTTATCAATTTAAGGAAGAAGAAAGGGATTCCTGGACATTTCTGAGTGAGATTAAATCTCAAAACTCAAGGCCTCTCAGAGTGACTCTAATTTTTAGCATGACACTTTGAGTTTAACTATTTTTTTAAATCAACCCTATAAAACCTAAAGAATAGGTTTGAGTTGCATCTATGGTTGTTCTCATACTAGCTTGGACCAAGGAAATATTTAGCTATGTTTAAAAGTCAGGAAAAAATTTGTAAGAGTCCAACTTCCAATTTTGGTTCTGTAAACTGCAGCAAAGATTACATTAAGCCAAACACATATGTTAAGAAGCAGTGTTTTAATTTTTAGAGACTTAATGTTTAAGTGTGATACATAGGACAAAATATTCACAATATTCTGAAGGATGAACTTTAGATAAGAGAGGAGAACAGAAAAGCTTGGTTCCGACAAGATAGAAAATTCCTCTAGAAATCTGTAACTGGGAGCATGTCGCAGATTAAACAATAACTCTTCTTTGAATAGAAATGTATTTAATAGTAGGAACACTATTTATGTTGAATCTACAAATGCTCCCTTATCCGGGGAAGTTTCTATCTAATAAATAATTAAGTTATAAACTTTGCTTTTGCTGTGCTCAACGCATCATAATCTACATTCTGGATGCAAAAAAAACCCCACAAAAAACGGGAAATCAAATTTCAGGAGGGAAAATGAATTTCAATTTTGAGTAAAAACAGGTAGAATTTCAATTATGCGAACACATGGGATCAGATAATTTTAAACGCCTTGCCAGGGTTTGTAAATGTTGTTTAAAAGATAACTTAAAATTTGGGTTTCAATTTTTGCAGACTACCTCTACTAAGCAGAGATTTCTGTTGCCAAAAAGCTAGCAGAGGAAAAAAAAAAGAAAAAAAGCCAAATAAACTGAGAAAGAAAAAGATCTTTACCAATACAGTAGGAACAAATATTTCTTTTTATGCTTCTCTGTACTAAAACAAAATGTTTCGGCAAGTTGAACAGCTTTTGAACCAATATGTGAAACTTGGTTAATTACTCCTGGATGAAATTTTCCATTTAAAAAGTCATGCAGAAACCAAAATGTCACTAAAAATAAAAATAAAAAATTACACTTCTAAATGAGTATTTATGCATAGTCAGGGAGCGCTACAGATGAAACTACCAGTTTAATTCATTACCATCTCTATTTTTCACACTGGTGGTATTTGCTGGTCTTTTAATGGCGCACTATAAGATTATACAATTATTCTTTCATGAGGTCCATCTTAGAGTAGGCTCTGCTGCTGAAATACTGATGAATTTAAGACCTCCTTCATTATCTTCCACTGAGTGATATATATCATAGCTTGGAAATGCATGAAAAAAATGCTCAGGTAAAAGGACCACAAAAAGTAAAAAAAGAAATAAAAAGTAAAGCAAAAATTTTCTAAGGTAAAATTGGCCTGTGATGCCTTAACCACAGTGGTGATATGTTCTGAATTTAGGATTTCACTCTTCTTCAGAATACAGCTTTCAAATGCTAATATACAGAAGTATAGCTTTAAGCGTTAAAATTCACCCCGCTGCAGTGATGAATTTAAGTATGTAAGCCTGTAATTATTACCATAGTTCATACTTCATTCAGTTGATTAAGCATACAGCATTCTGAGATCATAAGTTCAATTTCCACACGGATCAACTCTGTATTTTACTGTCAATGTGAAACCCACACATTCCTAGAGAAGCAACTTGTAGACTCCACTCTGGAGCAACACAGAAGGGGAATAATAATGATAATAATAATAATAATAATAAATGAAATTATTAACATTATCCTTGCAAACCTGGGTAAGTCACTCAAGCATTCTGAGCCTCAATTTCCTTGTCTTTAAAATGCAGATAACACATGTCTCATAGCCATTGCCCTGAAGCAGGTACTGATGGCAACACACAGGTGATGTCTGTAAAGCGCTCACAGCAGCATCAGGCATATAGTAGGTACTCGGTAAATATTGGCGGGTAGCCTCTTATTTGCAGTCTGAGGTCAGCGCAGGGCTTCAAGTGCAGATAATACACAGTCATAGGGACACTATCTCTAGACAAAGCCACTTACTAGTCTCTATCTGGCTCTACACACGTCAATTAATGATCAACAGTAGCACAGGATCCTGGGAAGGGTTACACATTAAATATTCTCAGAACCATATTTATTTATTTACTTATTTTGGTGTGTGTATGTGTGTGTAGGGGGGGGGGTACTTTTGTTTTAACCCTCTCTCGCCCCCTTATAAAAACAGCTTTGTAACAGAAACCAGAATATTGGTACCCTAAGTCATGAGACAATTAGCACACTTCCCTTGAAACATGTACTTAATTTACTTTCCCTCCTACCTTTTCAATTTTTTCATCCAGCATCCTGAAGAATTCTTGCTGGCTCTCAGAGGTGTGCATGCTGAAAAACAGAGAGGAGTTAAGTGCATATTTCACTTTTTTTCTTAAGCCTGGCTCCCTCCAGAAAAATGCTGAGTCCCTACATTTTGGGGGCAGACATTTATTTAATTGCACTTTTCCACTGAAATACTCTGGAGTTATAGTAAAGATAAATGTTATTACAATAATCCTACAAATGGGTTTCCTAATACTCTATCAATGCCTAAGATTTAAGAAATGCAATTTTCTTTCAATGTGCATGTTATTTATAGAGATGGTACTAGGAGGCGCACGCCCAATTTTTTTCTTCAGACACACATTTGTGATTTTTTTTTTAAAAGCATAGGCAAACAGCACATGGCATATTTCAACCCTGTGTGCAACCGTGAAAAGAAAATATGTCCTAGTTATTGTACCGAAAGGTGTATTTTAGAAAGGTTGTCAGCACCAGCATGCTATTCAGCTGGCAGCCAGTGAGCTCAGACCTTGACATTGGACCTGACACCTTCTATTGTACATGGGCAACAGCACACATACCTCTTTGGGACTGAAATCCCACTGGAATGGGGGACTAAGCCAGGGAGCCGGTGTGAGTAGCACCTGTCCTGTGTGTTTGCGTGTCCTACGTCACTTGAAGGCATACTTAGCGAGATGCACACGGTCACACAGGATCACAGATGGAAAGGGTGTGGGGAGGAAGGGACCTCGGTGGCAATATGGTTTCAGTGACCGTAGTTTCTACTTAGCAAATAGTTGTGGGTGTTCCAAGAAAAGCCCGGATGCCGGGTGAGCGACGCGTGGCACAGCGCTTCTTTCACGTACTGCTAGTGCCTGCTGGTTGTCGTGGCTGGGGGTGGGGTGGGGCAGTGGCCGTGGATCAGTTTCTTCTCTTCAAGTCGAGGTGTGGGGAGCAGCCCACCTGACATACTCCTCAGCACGCTGCCTCATTCTTTAGGAGCCACAATGTGTGGCACAAGTGACCCCCAACCCTCGGGGCCTCCCATGACAGGTAGTGAGGCTCCGAGGAGGTTTTCTCCTGTGTGTAAAACCAAGATTTAAAACCTGGGAGCACAATGACATCGGCTCTGATGTAAAAGGAAAACAATAACAAATATCTGAACAGCAACTTTCACGGTTATAGAGCACAGATACCCTGTAACTGTTGCCGTCCTTGATATGGTCACTGAAATAAAGTAAGTGCCCTGTTGCAGAAGCAAGCCCCGCCTTATTGCAGGTTTCAAAGGCAGGGCGGACTCTGGGAGGATGAGAAGATATTAAATAGTCTCCTCTCTCTGGCTGGAGTTTCCCCAGATTCCTCATGTTTTTACTTCTTTAAAGCGCCAAATATTTTTCATCTGAGCCACTTTGGATGCAAGTGTTCTAAGCTGTATACTCTTTAATAGAGGACCTAGCACAAATGTTACTTAACTTTTCCCTTAACGACTAGCGGGCGCTTCCATGATCTTAAATCACAATAGTCTTCTGGGACCGCCCCGCCCAGACTCTAAGAGGGGTCTTCTTAAGCAAAATGGACCGAAACTTTAGGCTTTTGTTCTTTGCCTGCTTTTGAACTTTTTCTCTCATTTCTTCTTGTCAGAGGAGGTACCAGTCTTCTTTCGGTTTCATTCCCAGTTGCTGCTTCTACGCCATGTGTGGAAACAGCTGATGTTATGTGAACAGGCTCCAAGGGCGAGCCTGGGGGTTGCTTGTGAGTGGGGAATATGAATATTCTGGCATCCTGTGGCTGCTCTGACAATTTTGGGACATCCTTCCTGTTCCTGGCCAAGATCTAGGCATGAAGATTATACATACTCGTCTATACACATATGGCTATTATCTATCTATCTATCTATCTATCTATCTATCTATCTATCTATCTATCTATATCTATCTATCTATCTATCTATCTCTAAGAAATCCCAAAAGAACTAATAAAAATGTCATTTTTAGGATTTGATGTTCATTGTGGACATGTTTGGGTTAGAGTTTTTAGTATATATTGCCTTGCATATAACAGGAGGGCAACACATATTTAAGCAACTGACACAGTGATCTCTACTTAAATTAATGCGATTCATGACCCCTCAGAGGTAGCACAGTGTGTTGGCAGGGGGAAGGTATGGGCCCTCTGTTCTCATCTATACAACCAGTGGGCTGCTCTCTGAGGTCCTTTCTGCCACCAACATTCTATGATTGTTACTAACTTTCACTAACTCCCTCATTGAACGACCAGAACATGGAAACAGGGCTGTGAGGTTAGAATTCACACATATGCACATTAGACAGACAAGAGGGAAAGCCTTAAGGGAAAGCAACCCTGCAAAGGTATCTGCCACCCCTGTGATCAAGGATGCCCAGGCTCAGGGGTCCACAGCAAGAGCCTGGGACCAGAGGTGATGGTGACCACCTCAGGGTGCGTCACCATGGTAACGCAAGAACAAAAACCTCAACGGTTTCAGTTATGTGTAGTTTCAGTACATCTTTCCTAACCATTCAATAAAAGTATTCCCTGATTAAAACCAACTAACAAAAGCCACCCAACCCAAAAGTAATTAGACAAACCAGTGTATTTTCAACCCCACCTGAATCCTGAACTAAATATTAACCTTACTCTGGGGTAGAGGGTACTATGATCCGGAAATAAACTACCATTTTCATTTTCTCATGTGCCCTTAGACAAACAATTCTAACCCAACGTAGGCAGCCAGCCTTCCATCGGGTACATCTCTACGATCACACCCCCTGATAGAGAAATGCTGCCTGAGTTTTCTTCATCTAAGAGCCTTCGAGCGTCTCTGCCTGCCTATGACTCATTTAAAAACCTACCCAGAAGAGTCCCCCACCAGACTGCTTTACTCTCTTGGCACCCTGAAATACAGCACGTAGACTGTGTTAGACCGAAAAGACTGGATGGAAGGGTGACTTTATTCATGATCAGACCCTGATGCACTCAATGAGCTCTTTTGTATAAATTCTAGTGTCCCTGGGAGCATGGCAGGACTGCCAGATGGAGCAAATGCCCGCATGAGGACCCTGTTACCTGGGCGCCACCTTAGGTATGGTGTGCCTGAAACCATGACGCTTGCTTGGCTGTTCTCCATGGGTTTGTTTCAAAGAGAAGCCCTGAAATTTCTCCAACAGGGGCAGAAACAACGTTTTTTACTCCGAGGGAATCAATTCACCTATATCCACGGACTCCTGCCTAGATAAATGCGGATTCCTCTTCTCAACACAGTGGCATTAACACTAGTTGAAGCTCAAGAGTACAAACTGCACTGTGAGAAACAGTCCCTAGGTAAAGACTCTCAGTCCTTAAACGCTTTCTGATGCACAATTGTGGTGATTTTGAGTGGAGAACACGGGGGAGGAAAAGCACGCTGGTTTTCTATCTTTCTTCAAGATACTAGAAAGGAATGATGGAATCGCTTATGATTTTTGCTTATAAAGTACAAATATTTGATGCTAAGATTAATTAGATCTAAACATCTTTTATAAAAGCCTGTATGTTGGTGCCTGAAGTCACTAATAAAGCTGAACAATTTCAGTAACTCCTATTTCTTTCTAATATTTACAACTCAACCTTGGAAAACCCAGCGCCTTCCCCTGGAACACTTCCTGTGGCCCCCGGTTGGCCTGGCAAAGTTTTTGTGAGTTAACCCTGAGCTGGCAAAGGTTCTTTCTATGACGTCTCAGCTTCATGAGACTAGGGATGACCACAGGATGGAATTTTTTTTTTTTAAATTAGTTTCAGGTGTACAAAACAACATAATAGCCTGACATTTACACCACTCACAAAGTGATAACTCCCCTCCCCCAATCTACTACCCCTCTGACATCATATATAGCTGTTAGACTCTATTCTCTACGCTGTACTCCATATCCTGTGACTATATATACATATACATATAAAATTATAGTTGACATTCATTATCATTCAGCTTCAGTTTCAAGTGTACAGCGCAGTGGTCAGGCATCTACACCGTCCATGAAGTGGTCTCCCTCATAAGACAAGTGTACATCTGACACCCTACAAAATATTTACAACATTATGGATTATATTCCCCAAACTGTCTTTCATATCCCTGTGGCTATATTGTGACTACCAATTTGTACTTTCTAATCCCCTCCCCTTCTCCCTCATCCCCACCCCCTCCCAACTAGCAGCCATCAAGTTTTCCTCTGTATCTCTGAGACTGTTTATGCCCCCCTATGTTTATCGCAGCGCTATTCACCATTGCCAAGACATGGAAACAACCAAAATGCCCATCGGTAGACGACTGGGTTAAGAAACTGTGGTCCATTTACACAATGGAGTATTACTTGGCCATAAAGAAGAAGGAAATCCTACCATTTGCAATGATATGGATGGACCTAGAGAACATTGTGCTCAGTGAAATCAGTCAGACGGAGGATGGAATCTTAATGACAAGTGAGCTAGTAAGGTAGATAAAATGAGCTTGAAGAGCTGAAAGATACCTGGCTTTCATGTTTAGTGATTTAAAAAATTGTTTTGCAAATAATAAAAACTTAAGCCATGAATGCATGAGAGGGTAAGGTCTTCCTTCCCTAAGAGTTCATGTGCAAAAATGAAATTCAGTTGCTCAGTGGGTTCCTGGCAAATCTTGGCCTGAACACAGTTATTGCTTCATAATCATCATTATTATTTTTCAATTGGACCTCAGGGGAGTGGGTTCGTCCGAATCCTCACATCATGACACTCCCTTGCTGGCACTTGATGCCTGGCTCACTTTTATTTAGTCCGTTAATTATTTTGTTTTTCAAAAATAGCATAATAAGCACCCATGAAACCAAAACAAAAAAACAAAAGCTGGGGACCTTGACAACAACCTAAAGCTAACTTACCTCCCACCCGTGCAACTGATTTATTTTAGTTGTTTTTCACTTTTTATAAATACAAAGAGTGCATCACGCTCTATGCAGTCTTCCAGGGCTTACTCATTTCTTCTAGCATTCGATTGCAGCATTGGGAATTGTTGTAGTACATTCATTTTCACTAATTTAAATATTAACTTTAAGCAAACTCATTTAATATTAACTTTAATATTCCACTGTGAATATAGTATATGTAGTACATTTACCCAATTTCCTGTTATAGGGCATTTGGATGGTTTCTAATTATTAAGATGTTCTTACTTAGCGCCAGGCACTACGGTAAGCACTGGCATCCATTCTTCTATTTAGTCTCCAGTCCTGTGAGACAGGGCTGCTCACCTCCCTTTTTCTCTGAGAAAACCGAAGCTCAGAGACATCAGGTCACTCTCCTGAGACCACAACGTCAGTAAAATGGGCACTATGTGTTGCATCAAATGGAGGTGCGAGGATCATTATTAATAAACCTGCTATTATCTGGTGTGAGACTGTCCCTCCACTCATGGGGAAAAGAAACCCAACCTCATTATCTTATTTTATACAACTGCATAATAAATACGTCAGCACATAGGAAAAGTAAACCTCTTGTCTTGGTCTTTCAGAAGGATTTCTTAGTTGAATTCCAGGGACCCAATGTTCTGACTCACCGTTTAAAACACACACACACACACACACACACACACACACACACACACACACACGCGCGCGCGCGTGCACGCTCACGGGCATGCTGCTGTGTGGAACACAGAGGATTTTCTTCACAATTTTAATGTAAACACACAAGCCAATTTAAGCAACTTCTGCGAGAGCTTCAGTCCAAGCCAGTTTGCAAAGTGTGCTGTGTCAGTGTGTCCCAGTTAAATAAGGATTTGCTCTACGGGGGAAAAAAGGAAATCCTCCCTAATCCAGGGTCTCCTTAGAACTCAGAGATACGAGAAACATTTAAAGACAGCCCATATCAGATGACTTGGGGGAAAAGATGATTTGATTCTGTCCTCAGGTATCTGGGATCCCTAAAGGCAGATAAAGTTAGTGTAGATAAAAGTGATTACCAGGGAAGTGGACTAGAGAGGTTGTGATTACAGCATGGCATTTACCTAAGGCTGCAAAAATCGGTTGTGCCATTTATACTGACATTGTAAATGATAAGTGGATTTTTAACATGTCTAGTTTTCTTTGATATTAGAAAAATGAAGTCCCTGAGTTCATTCACCACCCCCTGAAGAGACCTAATTGCCATATCACTGTAGCCATGGCTACAGCAATGCCAGACACTGAGCCAGGTTACAGTGATTCTGGACTAGGTTATCTTTGTCTCAATTTTCCGGGAAGAACCAGGGTCCCAACTTCTGCTGTTTATGATTTGACTTGTGGGACAACTATTACATTATATGTAATGGTCAAATTTATTTTAGGGTGGGGGTGACTGTGTCAAATGTACTAGCGTGATCAGGACCCCCAGGGAATTTGTTCATATTTAGAAGGAACCCCACAAAAGAGATTTGGGATAACAGAGACTCTTTGAAAAAAAGGGAGGTACCTTCAAAGTCACACAAAGTGAATTTTATCACCAAGGTAGATGCAGTTCTAGAACAATCTATAAAACTACTCATTGTTCTCTTTCACTTTTTAGTTGTGAAATACATAACACATAGAAAAGAAAACATATACGGTTATTTGTACATTTTTAAATAACAATAATTAAAGGGACACCCATGTAATCACCACTCAGATAAAGAAACAGAACCCATGGTCCCACTGTCTTCGTTTGATCAGAAACAACCGCTCTTCTCAACGTAATACCTTTTCATTTCCTTGCTTGTCTTTATTGTTTTCCCCACATATACATTGCTCAGTTCTGCCTGTTTTTGAACTTCATATGAATGAAACCATATGTACGCAGGTACTATCACAGCCTTCCATTCATGAGATCCCTCCATCGTCACAGGTGAGGCTGTAGACCATTTGTTTCCACGGATATGTAGGAAGCCCATCATAAGACTATGCCACATTTTTGTTAGCCATTATATTTTTGATGGACATTCAGGTTTTACCTTCAAGAGCTCACAAAAACAATGCTGCCATAGGTATTTGTGCTGGCACGCAGGTTCCCGAATTTCTGTAGAGTATGTGCCTGACAGTGGAGTTGCAGGGACAGAGGAGGTATGGGTAGGTACAATTCTACAAGATAATGCAAATTGTTTTTCCAAGTAATCATATCCATTTCTACTCCCCCCAGCAGGAGTTCAGAGTGCCTCTGTTCCACACCCTGGTCAACCTTTTGTATTGTCAGATTTCTAAATTTTTGCTAACCTTGTGGCAGGAAGTAGCTTTTTTATATATGCCGGGTGTGCCAAAAAAAATGTATACACATGACTTGTACTCATCTCTTGTTATCGGTATATGTGGAGTATGACAATCTTAATATAGTTTTTTCCTTTCTTAAAATGTGTATACATTTTTTTTGTCCACCTTTGTATATTAGCCATTCATGCTTACTCTTCAGTTAAATAGTCGTTCATGTCTTTAGCCTGTTTTTCTATGAATTCTCTGTAGTTTACTTGTATATTGTAAACAATTCCATCATTTTGTGGCCTTTTACTCTCCTACAGTATATCTGATAAACAGAAGTTCTTAGTTTTAAGATGGTCATAATAATTAATCATTTTCCTTATGATTTGCATCTTTAGTGACTTACTCAAAAATTTTCCTTTCTGCATGGTCATAAAGATATCCCCCTTTATTTTCTTCTAACTGATCTGAAATGTCGGTCTGTTTTTGGGCTCTCTGTTCTGTTGTGTTAGACCAAACCACACTGGTCGCAATTTACTGAAGCTTTATAACAAGTCTTGATTATCTGGTAGGCAAAATGAAACTCACTCTGAAAATATTTTTAGCTTTAAGAACAATATAACAAATTAGGATCTAGAACTTACTTTGCTCTGGGTTGATGAACGAATCCCGGAATCTCCTTATTCGTTTTAAGTCTTGTATTGGAACTAGCACTTTTTTCCTAAAACACATAAACACACGCATATGAGAGACAAGGTGAGAATCAGCAATTCAACAACAGCATGCCTTTTCATCACAGAAATGCTAGATTTGTCTGGGACCCGCCACAGTTGGTTACTTTACAAGGACAAAAGTCCTTGCAAAGATGTTACACAGTCCAGGGAGGACTGTCAAACATTTTAATATGGAACAGAGTCATGAGGAGAGAAATTTGCTTTATAACAGCTATGACTGTTTAGAAAATTATGTGCAACTAATATTTGATTTTTTAGGTTGAGTTATTGAAAATAGTAAGAGAATAAAAGAACAGAAGATTCTAGTGTTAAAAGGAGCAGCAGTGGCACAATCATAGCCATTGCTGACTTGCTCAGGTTAACCATAGTTATTGGGACTTAAAGTTTGCACAAGGCCCTATCAGTAACAGGTACAAGAACAGAACTAAAAATAACTATTTTCCACCCACAACAAATATTGAGATTCAATTCAGTTGAATTAATCAAATTCAATACAAGCCTGTATTCAAGAGGCACTTTTTTGGCTATTAGCCTGATCTGATTTCTTATTCCCAGTAAACCAGCCACATGGGAAACAAACACTCTCAAATCATAAAATACCAACATATCAGCAAGCACCTCAAATACTTCTGCTCTGTACTTCTACACACATTATTATTTTTAAAAATAGTCAAGGTGCTTTACCATTTGCTCACAAAATACACCCCTAAAGTGAAAGAAAAGACTATTCTAAACCAATTTAACAAGTGACTAGACACACCCCAAAATGTAAAGGTGTGGCAACAATTAAAGACCCAGGCACAGGAAGAAAACCTTCTGTGGGCCGACACCCCCTTCTCACCACAGGCAGAGTGATGTGTGGTGCATAAAACAGATGCTCCCAACATGAACTCTTTGGAGTTTGTATTCCTCCTAGGTCGGCAAAAGCCATTTACATCAATGAAACGCCAATGATTTATATGCCCTGGTTGTTTGTTATTTACCATCAAACACAAGCTTATCTGCATAACATTAGCATTGCAAAGTACAGGGCAATTTTGTTTGTGATCTTCCAGGAAAAGAATCATTACAGTTCCTTTGCAGTTTATCTTACCATCCTCACCTCCCACTAAATTTAACAATGTTTTCATGAACATTTAAAAAGGGTACGATATAGATAGACTGTTTGCTGATGTAGTCAGGGAACAGCTGATGAACTACCTTGGTTTTTACAAAGCAGGTAGGAGAACAATCTGAAAAGTCTAATGCACAAGGAATAGTCAGTGGAATTTTAACAGCTATACACGATGTCTGAGGGGTAGTAGATTGGGGGAGAGGGGTTATCATTTTGTGAGGGGTGTAAATGTCTAACTATTACATTGTTTTGTACACCTGAAACTAATTAAAAAAACCCCAAAACTCTAATGCACTAATTCCAGGGGGACAGGGCCCATGTCCTCTCTTTACCATTGGGGCCATGTTGCCTGGCTTAGGGGCCTGGCGCTTCATGGCAGGCGCTCATCAAACATTGGTAGAATTGAATGCGTTGGGTCAGCAAAAAATTAACTTATTTTTAACAGCTAGAGATAAAAATAGCTCCAATGCAGTCTTTCTGCAGGGCCGAAGAAGGTGTAGGTTCCCTCCAAATTCATCATCTTCTCCCTTAAACTGGCTGTACCCATGGATTAAGCATGGAAAACGGACATGTTTAATAGGACAGAACCTTACACTTTTTCTCTAGTCACACGGTTTCTCAAACTCGTTGAGCCTACATGATACTCTGTAATTTTAAACATTGCTGAGGCAGGAAAGCAGCTTCTAATTCTAAGGGTACCAATGACATTTAATGGTATTCTGTGTGTATTCAGTGTATTAAACGGTACTCTTCCGAACCACATTGCCTCACCAAATCTTTCTTAAAAACACATTGTGTGGTTGCGAAGAACAGAAGGGATTCCCCCCAAACAACAGAAACGCAGTGGATAGGCCAAGCACTCCTGCTCAGGAGAGAGAACAAGTCACCTCAGCACACGACTTCCTGCACTTGCAGGAAGTGAAAGAACCAAAGGAACAATGGGGGCAAAGGCAGGAAAAGCAGCTTCAGACTGACCCGTTAGAGAAAAAAAGTGTATATAATTACTTAGAGATGTCTACCCATTATGTGTTTATAATGTGTACTTACAAATCACCGTTCTCCAAGTTGAACGGTAAGAACTCACTGAGCGCTTACTGTAAGTCGGGCACTAGTCTAAGTGATTTACATATATCAGCTTATTTTAATATATTTACATAAATCTTTACATATATCAACTCGTTTTTATGCCCACAGTACCTCTCTGAAATAGGTACCATTACTATCCCCATTTCAGTGATGAGGGAGCTGAGGCATAGCGAGGTGAAACACTTACCCAAGATCACAGCATAACAACTCATCGTGTTGGAACCTGAACCCAAGCACAATGGCCTCAGGGTCCATGCTTTTAGCCACTGGGCCAGCAGTTCTCAAACTTTTTAGTATCAAGACCTCTTTACCAAATAGTCTTCAAATTTTAACACTTTTCATTATACAATATGAAAAAAATCACATTTGTTAAAATCACCATCAATCTCATCAGAAAAGTCTGGACAAAAGCTGTCAAGCGCATGGCGGTATAAAGTGTTCCAAAATTCTAATTTTGGTTTAAAGTTGGAGTTTTATGACTGGCAACAGATTCTGCCAACTGTTTCTCTGAAGTTGTAGGTTCTCTTCATTCATCTTTGAGAAAAGGTTTGCCAAATATTCAAGTCTGAATATCCATCCATAAGGAAGAATTTATGCCTATTTCCCATATCACCGCATAGGCTCTTAAAAACATATGCATCCAAGGCGCAAGATTTAATAAAATTAAATAGTTTTTACTGCTTCATCAGGGACATTCTTAAGTGAAAACAGAATGCATTCTTCCACTGAGTGCCTGGTGGTGGAGAATACAATGACTATTGATACGGTTGGGTGGCACTGCCTTGCTTTGTGCTAACTAGCAGTCTTACTACTCTTACTACCTTTTCCACCATCAGAGCAAATGTCAACACAGCAGAAAAAAGGCAAATAGTTTCTCAGTTATTATTAGGAAAATGAATTCGAGGACTCTCTGAGAACGTCTCTGGGACTCTTGGGTCCACAGGCCACACTTTTGACTCTAGTGTCTACTTTGCATAGAAAAGTATCGATTATTTAATTATGCTATATGCCTTATTTAAGATAAATATTTAACCACCTTATTGAGGTACAATTAATATTCCATAAAATCCCCCCATTACTAATGTACAATTAAGTGATTTTATCAAATTTATAGAGCTGTGCAATTATCTCCCCAATCTAGTTTTAGAAAAGTTCTATCACCCCCAAAAGGCTTCCTCAAGTCCATTTGCAGTTATTCCCTGCTCTTGTCTGTAGCCCCAGGGAACCACAGGTCTGCTTTGTCTCTACAAATTTGCCTTTTCTAGAGTCATATAAATGGAATCATATATATCTCCTTTTGTGTCTGGCATTTTTCACTCAGTATAAAGTTTTTGAGGTTCATCCATACTGTAGCATACTTCAGTATTTCACTTATTTTAATTGCTAAATAATATTCCACTGTATGGACAGACCACATTTTGTTTACGAATAATGCTGCTACGACCATTCACATACGAGTCTTTGTGTGGAGATGTGTTTTCGTTTCTCTTGGGTAGATCCCCAGGAGTAGATTTGCCAGATTATATGCTAAGCTTATATTTAACTATTTAAGATGTCACCAAACTTGATGAGACAAGTAAAGGTTAACGTGAGTGGGCTCGTGAGCTGGCAGGATGGGACAGGCAAGAAGTTAACAGGAGCAAGCTTAAACATTAACCACTTGGCTCTGACTGCCCTGGCCAGCACTGCACCTACAAGCTGACAAGCACCTTACATCCATCATAGGTAGAAACAGAGCAGTTCCCAATCGCAATGACAACCCCCTGCAAGCTAACAAACACCCATCATCGATGGAAACAGAATGGTTCCCAGGAGAAGACAATTGTAACGGCAGCCCCCCTGCAAGCTGACAAGCACCCTACATCCTGCATCAAAAAATATAAAACCCCAGCACTCCTTCTCATCGGAACAGCTGTCCCCCATTGGACTCTGCCCTGGCACAACTCCTGCCAGGATCTCTCTCTTACTCCTCTGTCTCTGCAGCTGTCTCCATCAGACTGTCCTGGCAAAACTTCTGTCAGTTCCAAACAAAACTCTCTCTCCCTTTTTGACTTTCAATAAATCTTTTCTCCGGATACTCTTGTAGAATCTCCTAAATTCTTTTACATTCTGCGAACGACCAGGAGTTAATTCTACACCAAGACAAAACTGTTTTCCAAAAACAGTGGCAGCGCCATTTTACATTCTCACCATTAGTGCATGATGGTTCCGGTTGCTCCAAGTCCCTGCCAATGCTTGGTATTATCTTCGATTGTCGCCATTCGAGTGGGTGTCTCATTGTTGGGCTTTATTTATTTTAAAAAATATGACTTGTTTGGATTTGTTCTTATATTTCTCTGTGTCCCTCAGAGGACCTCATACCTTCCTGCATGGAGCATTGATATGCTTACTGGTTAGCTGTATTCGCATCAATAAGTCAGTCCGTATTCGTTTAATAACATCACTTAACTTCTACTTTGGGTTTGTTTGTTGGGGAACAGGAGGTTTAAAGAGATCTGTCTAAAAAACAAACAAACAAACAAAAAAACCCCAAGAAAACAAGCAAACAAACAAAACCAAAGAAGTACAACGCTGATGGGAACCTCAGCCAGAGCAGACCCAGCAGAGAGCTGAGGCAGGCCAGTCTGCTGTGTGCCACGTTCACGAACAGAGAATTAAACTGGGAGATGACGGAAGAGGTAATAAGATATTGTTTCCCTTGGCAAGAAAAAACGATCTTAATGGTATTGGACACTTATAAACTGAGAACCTAAAATAAACTGTGACCAAGTGGGACCAAGATGAAGC